TTGAGTCAGACACTCTGCACTCTCTAAATTCGGCAACGCCGGGCAAGCCACAGTCTCCCTGACCTGTTTCTTCGTCCATAAAATGGGGATAGTGATGCCAACCCCAGAGTTGTGGGATTCAATGTATTAAATGTATGCAAAGTACCCAGTGCAGGGCCAGGTGTGGACAAAGCACCCAGTAAGTGGCAACCATTGTCATTATTTTTTTTAATAGGTTGCAATGTCCACGGCCGAATGTAATCTGTGCTCACGGAAGCATCCAGCCACGGGATGCAGTGGGCAGTAAGCTCACTGAAAGGCTCTGGCGCAGACAACATGACCTGACAAGTCAGAGAAGCTCATTGATTCGCAACTGTGGTGTGAATTAGAATCTGCTGTGCTCCACCCCCGGGGACTGTGCCGTTGGTCTCGAGGGGTTCAGCATCCTTATTTTGTAAGGTTGGGGTGAGAACTTGAGAGGGGGGAGGGAAGGGGTAACTTTGGGGCAGGGTTTCTGGCAGGAGGAGGCATGGCTGGGCTGTTGCTGACCTGGTAACGGATGTATGGATATTCACTTGAATCATTACTCATTCACAGCACCTTCATGTTTTATGTGCCTTCTATATGTTACGTTTCATAGCCTTAACTTTTTATTATGGGGAGTTTTAAACGTGCACTAAGTAAACCAACCAGTGTAGTGCAGGCTCACCTGCCACCACCAGACCTCCGAGCCCTCGACCACGCCCGTCCTGCCTTGTCCACGCCCCAGGCCACCTAGGCTGGTATTCTGCAGCAAACGCCAGACAAGGAATCATTTCATCTGTTAACATTTCCATGGGTAACTCTAAAAGATAAGAGCTTTTGTAACACAATGATGCTACCAACTTGACATCTTAATAATTGCTTATTGTCCTCACTCACATAGCCAATGTGTTCACATTCATGAATGTTATACTTCTTTTAACTTGTTTTTCAGGATTTAAATTAGGATCTGCACCTTGGCGATGGGCTGGTTTGTCTTCCAGGTGTCATATTTCAGTGCTTCTCACACTTTACCGTGCAGGTGAATTTCCTGGGGATCTTATTAAAATGCAGCTTCTAAGTGAGGAGGTTTGGGGCAGGACCTGAGAGTCTCCATTTCTGACTCCGCCCCAGCAGGTGGTGCTGAGGCTGCTGGTCCGTGGACCACACTTTAAGTATCAAAGCTTTATTTTATAACAAAAGGAAATATTTTTTCTTAAGTTAATGTTGATATCTTTGGACAGGACCAGTGACTTGGGAAAGAAGTCAGTGCTGGCTGAGAAGGGCCGTCACCTTCTTAGGAAGTGCGATTGATAACGATACCGGCTGCGGGTGTTTAAATGCCAAAAGCGATTCCTGAGCCTCCAGGATTAGGACCTGACACTCTGCCCATCCAGGTCATCCTAGCAGGGTCTGGCCCTCCCCAAACCAGAGGCCACCTCGTGGAGACCCTCAGAGCCTCTGGGAGTGCACTGATTTGTTCAGTGTCCGGCAGGCAGACAGAAACACAAGCTACCAAAATAAGGCAGTTACCTTTTCTCGCAGTTATAGGTTTAATTAAAAAGCCCCATACTGCCAGATTCCAAGCACCCTCCACTGATCTGCGAGACCTATTGATTGCTTGGCTCTCCCCGAAAGACACAGCAGAGAGAAGACTTTATTTTCCTTTAATCAGACCTGCCTCCCTCAGATCCAGTCCTAACAGGCTGCTCCTCGCCCGCTTCCTTCACCCAGCACTCAGCCAGCCCCAGTACCACACACAGCGCCAGCACCGCCACAGCGAGCTAGGGGAGGTCTGCGCCCCGAGGGAACGCCCAGCCTCATGGGCCAGGTGGCATCATCACCAACACATGGCCAACACATATTGAGCCTACACCGAGTGCCAGGCACTGTGCCAAGTACTTCAAATACATTCTAATATAATTACATTTTTTTCTGTGTGTTATGTTCCCTGATCACTGCATCTCATGTTGCCTGCACTGAACACGTGTTCTCTGTCATACCACCTGTCCATTGTCTTCACAGCCCCTAATATTGTCTGAAGGCACGTATATTTCTCTGCCTACTTGTTCACTGTCCCTGCCCTGGATTGTGATCCCTGTGAGGGCAGGGTTTTGCCTCTCTCGTTCAGTACAGAGTCCCCAGCATCTAAAACACGCAGTTGCAAATTTCCCAATAAATGTGGAGAAGGTGCCACATATTACAGAACTGCCTTCTTCTTTAAGGCAGTTAAATTATTCCATTCCATGTATATACTACATTTTCTTTCATTCTTTTTCTTTTTTAATTTTTTTTTTATTTATTTTTTGGAGAGAGAGGAAGGCAAAGAGAGATAGAAACATCAATGTGAAAGAGAAGCATCTATCAGCTGCCTCCTGCACGCACCCTACTGGGGATCAAGCCTGAAACCCGGGCATGTGCCCTGACTGGGAATCAACCAGGACCTCTCAGTCCACGGGACGGTGCTCCACCCACTGAGCCACACCAGCCGGGCTATACTGCATTTTTTTTTTTTATCTAGTCATCTGACAGTAAACAGTTAGGTTGATTCTACATCTTGGCTATGGTGAGTAATGCTGCAATGAATATGGGGGTGCAAATATCTCTTCAAAATCCTGATTTTGATTCTTTGAGATAAATACCCAAAGATGGGGTTGCTTGACCATATAGTAGTTCTGTTTTTAATTTTTTTGAAGAATTTCCATCCTGTTTTCCATAGTGACTGCACCATTTTGCATTCTCAACAAAGGTGTATCAGGGTTCAAATTTCTCCACATCCTGGCCAAAATTTGCCAGCTTCTTGTATGTTTGGGGAGTAGATATCATGTTAAATGTTCTTAACACACACACACACACACACACACACACACAATTTTAAATAAAACAAATTGTGTGCTGAATTTGGCTTATCGCATTTATTCCTCCCAGCAGCTCTTTGAGCTTAGTAGTCTTACACCCATTTTATAGATGAGGAACTGAGACTAGGGGAGGAAAAGCAATTTACCCGAATGTACCTGCACAGGAAGCTGTAGTCCAACTCCAGCGAGGGCTCTAAGCCTGGGGTCCGCGAGCCTGTAACCTCCAGTCGGTGAACTTGGAGGGGAAACAGAATCTCCCCTAATGATCCTAACATCCGACTGAAACGCTGCAGTTCCCCCCATTATGAATGCAGCAGCCCCCGGGACGCTGTCACCAGCTGGAATCGTTGCAGATGTCCTGGAATGCCACTTACACTCACTGCTGCCCCCAGATTGCCGCGCAGTAATGCGGCCTCCCCGCAGCCAGACCCCGGCACGCGGTGCGAGAACACAGACGTGTTGCTGTGTCGCGACTGGGCTCTGTGACACTTGGCAACGGGACTGCAACGTAATCGGTCGCCTGAAATCAGCCCGACAGAGAAGATTCCAGGGCCGCATCATGTCTCTTATACGTGAGATCTAAATAAATAAATAAATGAGTCGACTTGGAAGCAGAGGACAGAAAGGTGGTTGCCTGGGGCTGGGGTGGGGAAGTAGGGAGAGGTCAGTAAAATGGTACAAACATCCAGCTATAAGATGAAGACATTCTGAGGGTCTAATGTAGAACGTGGTGACCACAGCTGATAATACTGTCGTAGAACTGAAAGTTGCTGAGAGAGTAGAACTTAAATGTCCTCACAGAAAAAACAAAAAGTAAAATGTGAGGTGAGGGAGATGTTAGTTAACTTGATGGGGGGAGGGGAGTCTTTTCACGATGTAAAAGTATATCAAATCATCACATGTACGCTTTGAATATATTACAATTGTATCTGTCGAGTATACTGCAGTAAAGATGAATACGTATAGAAATACAATAGAAACATATATATTTGGTTGCCTTTGTGATCCCATGAGACTTTCATCTAAAACCACACTGAGAAGGGGCCAGGCCCTGAAAAGAGTGAGAACCAGCCCTGGTTCTTTGGTTGAGTTGAGTTGAGTTGGTTTGAGTGTCGTTCTATGTACCAAAAGGGGTGGGTTCTACCCCAGTCGGGCACATATGGGAGGCAACCGATCAATGCTTCTCTCTCACATCAGTGTTTCTGTCTGTCTCTCTCTCTTTCTCTCTCTCCCTTCCTCTCTCTAACCATATCCTTGGGTGGGGATTTAAAAATAAGATTGCCCATCCAGTGTGACTCAGCGGACTGGGCTTCGTCCCATGGACTGAGAGGTCCCAGCAGGACTCCAGGCCAGGGCACATGCCCGGGTTGCAGGCTCCATCCCCAATGAGGGGCAGCAAATTGATGTGTCTCTCTCACATCAATGTTTCTATCTCTCTCTTCCTTCCTCTCTCTCTAAAAACTCAATGAAAACATATTTTTTAATTTAAAAAAAGATTAATTACCAGGCTCCACAGCCTGCTCTCTGACCACCTGGCTGGAAGTGACTCATGACTTAGCCTGGAGGAGAGGGTTAGAAGGAACCTGCACAGGATGGCAGCTGTCCCCCCTTCAAGGGTGGGATGCCAAGGCCCAGCGTGGGGGACCGACCTGGCAGACAGACACACAGGGAGGCAGGGTCTGGGTCTCAGTTAGAATCCAGGTTTTCCTGCTCCCAACCCAGCACCTTTGCAGCTGGACCACACTGCCACCTAGGGGCACAGACCATTTCAAACCTGTCACAGCGCGGAGAGGGAGGCATCCGTGCCGTGCACGAGGCCTCTGGTTCACCCAGCTGCAGTGACCTGTGCTCTCTCCTTCGTGCAAACTGTCATTGTTCACTCACACACTGCTGGTGGGGACGCACATCAGTCCGACCACCTTGAATGGCAACTGGGCTATGCCTGGTGACAATGGGGGTGTGCACCCCGTTTGACAGACTGAGTCTACACACACCCACACACACACACACATGCACACGCATGCACACACACGGGTACACCCCTGAACAGTGGGTCTCAACCCTGGATACAAATTCGAACTGCCAGGGAAGCTTCTAAAACCCGTGGTGCTAACCTCCAGGCCCATTCATGAAGCCTGCTGGGTGTCGTGGTAAAGCAAAGAGCCAGCACCCCCTTTGACAAGGATGGAAGAGACTCTCGGACCTAACGACTGTCATGCCGGTGGGGCACTGCCTCCTACTTTGTGGCATGTAACCATCTTTTTGTTTTTCCTCAGAAAATTAAAAATTGATCTGCCATTTGACCCAGTGGTCCAACTTCTAGGAATATACCCTAAGAAGCCTGAAACACCAATCAGAAAGAATATATGTACCCCCATGTTCATAGCAGCACTATCTACAGTAGCTACGATCTGGAAACAGCCCAAGTGTCCATCAGTAGATGGGTAGATGAAACAGCTATGGTACATGTACACAGTGGAATACTATGCAGCTGTAAGAAAGAAAGATCTCTTATCCTTTGAAACAGCATGGAGGGACCTGGAGAGTGCTATGCTAGTGAAATAAGCCAGTCAGAGAAAGACTAATATCACATGATCTCACTTATATGTGGAATCTAATGACCAAAATAAACTGATGAATAAAAGAGAAACAGAGGCATGGAAACATGGAACAGACTGATGAACCTCAGAGGGAAAGGCGGTGGGAAGACATTAACCAAGGAACTTACATGCATATGTGGACACAGACAATAGGGCGGTGAAGACCTGGGGCAGGATGGGAACTGGGAGGAGGGGGCAATGGTGGAAAAGGGGGGCCATCTGTAATATTCTCAACAATAAAGATTTAATTTTAAAATTTTTAATAGATTCTTTGGGTGTGGGGCATCAGTGTGATGATAAAAGCTTCCGGGTGATTCTCTCTGCAGCCCAGCTGGCCACCGCTGGCCTCAGGAATCTCCGTGTAGGCATGAGGAAGGCCCATATGGTACGCTCACTGGAGTGTTTTTTGCAAATAGAGCAAAGAAGTGGACACAACCAAATGTTCATCAACACAGGAATCACCTGAAGAGAGAAAAGAACTGACGAAATGCTGCGCAGGCGCTGAGAGAAGTTAACTAGCACTCTGTGTGTCAGCAACGGTCAGTCTCAGAAACACGGTGCTGGGTGAAACATCAAGCTGCAAAATAGACACTGCAGCGTGGTACGGCTTTGGGCTTCTAAAACACTACTAACAATGCACACAGATGTACATGAGAGTATTTCAAGGTCCTCAAGGATATGTAACATATTCAAAATGGGGGGGGCATTGGGGGTGGTGACTAAAGGGACTTTGGTTTGTATTCTTTTTTAAGAAGAATATGTATATTTTATATAAGAAATTAAAATTGATTCTAAATATATGCACCCCTATGTTCATAGCAGTGCAATTTACAATAGCTAAGATCTGGAAACAGCCCAAGTGTCCATCGATAAATTAGTGGATAAAAAAGCTGTGGTACATGTACACAATGGAGTACTATGCAGCTGTAAGAAAGAAAGATCTCTTATTCTTTGAGATGACATGGAGGGACCAGGAAAGTATTATCCTAAGCGAAACAAGCCAAGCAGAGAAAGACAAATATCACATGATCTCACTTATTTATGGACTATAACGAACAAAACAAACTGATGAACAAAATAGACCCAGAGTCATAGAAGTAGGGTACAGACTGACAAATCTCAGAAGAGGGGGGGGGGGGGGAGAGATAAACCACAGAACTTACATGCATGTATGCGTAACCAATGGACATGGACAACAAAGCTGGGGACAGGGCGGGGGCGATGGGGAGGAGGGTGTCAATGGGGGAAAAAGGAGAAACATCCCTTTTGCCCCAAGGGTTAGATTAGTGTGGCAGGTTGTATTTTCCAAGGATGGCAACAATGTCTCTCATCCCACATGCTCTCCTTACAAGGTGCCCTTGACATTCCTCCCACTGAAGGGTGGGATTTGCATGTAGCTCTGTGACTGCTCCCACCCAGAGAGAACAACGGAGTGATGCTCTGAGCCCCGAGACCAGAGCATGAACTCTCACACACCTTCCATCTTCTCTTGGGGCCCAATCCTGTGGTGTGAGGAAGCTCAAGTCAGCCCAAGCTCCCCTTCCTGGGGAGGCGCCCTGCAGGTGTTCTGAACAAGAGCCCAGTGGAAGTCCTGGCCAACAGCCAGCTGACATTCGTGCAGGGAGAGACACACAAGAAACAAAAATCAGTCCTGTGAAGATGGCACGAAGTCCCGGGAAGGACACTTTAGATGAAGAAGCGGGTCGGAATTCCCAGGAGCAGAGGAGGAAGGAGCATTGCAGAGTTAAATAGTGTCCTCAGGGACAGCCAGTAGGGAAGGTGACCCCTGAGAAAAGCCTGGAGGTTGTGAGGGAGGAGCCATGAGAAACGTCAGGAAAGAGCATTCCAGGCAGGGGGAGAACAAGTGCAAGAGTCCTGGGGCAAGTCCTGGGGCAAGAGGGCTTGGGGTGTTGGAGCAGCTGGAAGAGAGGGGGAGGGGAGGGGGGAGGGCGGGTGGGGTGGTCAGAGAGGTGATGAAGAGCCAGCAAAGTATGGCTTTGACTCTGCAGGGGACCGGAAGTCATGAGACCTTGAAAAGGTCACTCCAGCTGCTGTAGATGGTGATGACAGCGTGGTGACAGACTTGTTTGTTGTGTTGGGGTTTTTCTTTTCTTTCTTCTTTGTGTTAGTTTTATCCAGCATGTCATCTCTTCCTCTTGTATCCTGGTAGCCCCTTTGGGAGACCTTCCTCCCTCCCATTATGAATATCTTTGAGCTCTAACCTATTCCTAATGAATTTTAAGACCTTTTTATGGGGACTATCCCATTTATTCAGTGACTTCTGGCCCCACTCCGTGGACCACTGCTTCCTTTGCAAATGTGTCTCTATTTTAAAAAGAAAAACTTTAATTCCTTTCTTCCTTCCCTTTCCTTCCTCCTTCCCTTCTCTCTTCCTCCCTCCTTCCTTCCTCCCTTCCCTTCTTCCTCCTTCCTTCCTTCCCTTCTCTTTCCTTCCTCTCTCCCTTCTTCCCTCCTCCCTCCCTAACTCCCTCCTTCCCTTCCCCTCCCTTCCTTCCTTCATCTTGGATGAAACCTTCTTATAAAAATAAAATAAATTTTAAAAAAATAAAAAATTTAGCTCTAGCCGGTTTGGCTCAGCAGTTAGAGCATCAGCCCACAGACCAAAGCGTCTTGGGTTCGATTCTGGTCAAGGGCACGTACCTCATTTTCAATTCGATCCCCAGCCCTGGTTGAGGTCATGCGGGAGGCAACCAGTCGATGCGTCTCTCTCACATCGATGTTTCTCTCTTTCTTTCCCTCTCTCCCTCCCTCTGTCCCTCCCACTCTATCTGAAAATTAATGGAAAAATATCTTCGGGTGAGGATTAAAACAAAAAACAACTTAAAAAAGACTTTACCTCCTTCTGGTTTCCAGTTAAAATAAGAATTGCTGGTACTTTCCAACTTGTCACCAAAATCTGGAACCTCCTGTGGTCCTGAGTGAATGCCATGCCCTTCCCCCGCCTACCCGCCGCCCTTTGCCCAGGCTGCAGCCGGATGCCCTTGACCAAGCCCCCCATCAGTTCCTCCCTCCTCCAGTCTCAAGCCAACATCTCGGTCTGGGTGTGTCCCCTGCCACTTCCTCACCCACGGCCCATGGGACCCAGCCCGATCTGAGGTTCCATCCAACAAGCAGTCTTCTGCCTGTGGCACCCCCACACCTCCCTTTTCTAGAACAGGTGCGAGGGCTGGATGAACCTGTCCTGGAAAGAACCCAGCACCAGGCCGGACACACCGCGCGTGCGTCTTAGACCTGGCCCAGGGAGCTGTGTGGTCTCAGCAAGTCCCTCCGCCCCTCTGAGCCCGCCCTTTCAAACCACTGCTCTGCGTTCACCACTGCGTTTCGCAGTTGATATTCCAAGAGGCCCAAACTGGACTACAAATTTTAGACTGACTAGATTTTACATGCCAGGTGAGGGCAAATAAATAGCCTTCATCTGTCCTGTGCTGCCTTGTCTCTAGCGGGCTCCAGCTCCTGCGGTAGGTCACTTATCACAAGGTCTAAGTCTATTAAGCTACTGTCACTGGGTGCTTGGTCCTCAAGGCACTGGCCTCAGGGGCACCTAAGAAATGAAAGCGCATTTGCCTGAGGTCTTAGATCGCGTGTGTGTCAACCAAGGCACCTAACCCCACCCGAGCAGATGCAGCAAACCTTCCACGGGAGGCTCGAAGCTAGGTGGCAAGGGGGGAGGGGCACGCAGGTGCCAGGGCCTGGGGGGCAGGAGGCACGCCCGCCGAGACGGGTCCATTCTCAAGGCTGCAGGCACCGCTATGGACCCCGCTGACCAGCACAGCACACCCCTGAACTCACGCGGCCTCCTCTGGCCTCTCCCTTGAACACCGCACAGAGGACGCCCCACTGGGCATCGCAAACCCGAAGTGGTCACAGCCAAGTCTCGATGTTTTCTCCCCTCACAGAGCTCCTTCTCCCCCATTTCCCCACTTTCTCAGGTCAAACAACTGACTTCAGAGTCTGTGCATTTCATCACCCCTGGTGAGTTTCCAGGGGGGTTGCTGCCAGCTGGCACCCCAGCTTCAAAACCCCCCTAGTCCTCCAGGGCGGGGGCTGGCATAATGGGCAGCAAAGGCCGTGGGGCGCCTGGGGCAAAGCAGCCATCGGGCGGGCGGAGGTGAGAGGGGGGCAGAGCAGAGCAGGAGGGCTGGGGAGTCTGGAGTCTGAAATGCGACCCCTCCCAGGACGCCTCCCAGAGCCTCGAGAGTCTGCAGAACCCACAGGGCCTAGTGGGAACTCTGAATAATTTTCCGTGGTGGTTATTGCTGTTAAAACAAAAGCAAAAACACAGAATGTGCTCTGCCGCAGGTGGGAGGCATCCCACTAGATAACAGAGCCCTAGGAGTGGAAAAAGCCAGGAGTTAGCAGAAATCCTACAGAGGCCTTGGGACCGCCTCGGACATGGAATGAAGGTCGGGACAGAGAAAGGGACATTCCCAGAAATTTTACTGAGCTCAGAGGCACAAAAAATGCCCCCAGATGACATCTGGCTTGCATTAAGAAGCAATGGGGCAGGGAAAGGTAATATTAGACACAGGGTATTAGCATGAGACATGCTAGTAAGAGGGCCACTCCTGACAAGTCCAGAGGTCTTTGCAATCAGCTAGAAAGATAAAAGCAACTTTGATACTCAACAAAAGGTAGTACCAGTTAT